TTGTCTTGACATAAATGCCCCCATGAACTGCTTCTTTTAAACTCATGTAGTAGGTGGCTTCTACTTACACAATCTATTAACATAAATTTTGCCCTTTTGGTAAGAACAAGCATGGTGATAATATGATTTAACAATACTGATACATTGTGATGAATATAATAGTCTGGCTTTGTCATTTTCTTGACCCAGACTGGGTTCAAACTCCCTAGGTAGCCAAGAATGACTTTGAAATCCTAATCCTCCTGCCTCCACCTCCTAAGAGCCTAGATTACAAGAGTACTCACCACATGTGGTTTTATGTGATGTGAGGGATACAATTCAGGGATTATGCATGTTAAACCAGCACTCTATCAAACAGAGAAATTTCACTGTACCAATTAGCCAGTGTTGTGCAAATATCATATTGTGAATTTAAAGAAACCAAGACAGTATAAGTCAATCATGTGACTTGGCATCTTGATGCAATTTTGACTCAAAGTGAACACGGGCTATCTGAAGCTGCTGGTAGTGTCACGCAGGGTACTGTTTCACAATCAACTTTTCTCTATCTAATCTTTTTTTGTTTGTTTGGTCGGTTTCTCTTTTTGTTGTTATTTTGTTTTGTTTTGTTTTATTCAAGACAGAGTTTCTCTGCATTGCTTTGGAGCCTGTCCTGGAACTAGCTGAAACTAGTTCTGTAGACTGTAGACCAGGCTGGCCTCACTCAAACTCACAGGGATCCATCTGCCTCTGCCTCCTGAGTGCTGGGATTAAAGGCGAACACCACCAACACTCAGCTTAATAACTAATATAAAGTATATCATGCTCACTGTTGTTAAGACTTGGGATTCGATCCCAGTATCATACCCACCCTTCACTAAGAGGCTCCAGGGGAACCAACAACCTCTTTTGTTCTCCCTGGTATCTATGCATACATACCTCCCACACATACACTTAATTAAAAATAATGAAAGTAAATATTTTAAAAGGCTAGGCGTTGGTGGCTCACACTTTTAATCCCAGCACTCAAGAGGCAGAGGCAGATGGATCTCTGTGAGTTTGAGGCCAGCCTTGTCTACAGAGCAAATTCCAGGACAACCTCCAAAACAATACAGAGAAACCCTATCTCAAAAAACAACAACAACAACAACAACAAAATAAGTGTAATATAAACAATAACATAGTCATTAATCACTACCAAATATTTTCTGGTACTGGGTGTGGTGGTACTTACCTTAAATCCTATCACTCAAGAGGCAGAGTTTTGACATAGCATAGTCTACATAGTAAGTTCCAGTCTAGCCAGGGATGCATAGTGAGACTCTGTCTCAAGAAATACTTTTTTGCTGGGTGGTGGTAGCACAGGCCTTTAATCCTAGCATTCAGGAGGCAAAGGCAGACAGATCTTTGTGCCTTTGAAGCCAACCTGGTCCAGGACAGCCAGGACTATGCAGAGAAACCCAAAACAAAGAAACAACAACAAAACCCAAATTCTATTTTCAGCACATAATTGCATTGCTAAGCTTACACAGTTTGGAGTACATTTTATACCAGCTCTAAAACACGAAAATAATTCACTGTTATGACCTTACTATAAAACCACAAGGCAATAAGAACATTTGAGATGTATTGTAATTTTCCCCAACTTTGAACAGAGTTTCACTGTAGACTAGTCTGACTTTGAATTTGTAGTAGACCTCCTCATGGATGTTATAGATTACAAGCATGAGCCACCACATCTGACTTCTACAGTAATCTTAAGGGACTGTCATTGAATATTTAGTCTGCTACCACCCAAAATATCACAGTATGGTCAAGACTATATTTAATAAAATAGTTGAAGATGTAGATTCAATGTTCAATGTGAGTATCTTATATTATCGCTTTCATTCAAAAGTTTGTTGATATATTTTGTGTTATTGAAAAATATTTCCATCTGCGCACAGCTCAGACACAATAAATGTTTTTTTAATGGTTTAAGGATGTGAATGTTACTGTATAAATCTGTACTCTTGCTGTGCCAGGCGATGGTAGCACACACCTTTAATCCCAGCACTAGGGAAGCTGAGGCTGGTGGATCTCTGTGAGTTCAAGGCTAGCTCAGTCTACAGAGCAAATTCCAAAAAGTCAGGGCTACACAGAGAAACTCTGTCCTTGAAAAACAAAAGAACAGAAACAAATATGTACTCTTATAAATTATAAAGATGATCATTTTAGTTTAAGGCCTGATGGCTATACAATGTATTTGTTACAGGATGCAGACTTCCTGGTAAATGGCTAACAATAGATATGCTTGGTACATATCTACTCAAGTCCCCTTAAGTGAGAGCACAACAGGTTTTCCTCCGTTAATTTGCTCTCCTTGCTCTGCCCTATTGTGAAAGCAGGCCTATCTGATTAAAAGGACATGCTCAGCTTCCCTACAGCTTTAAATATCATTAAGCACTTTGCCTTCACAAACTAGATTGGAAACTGTCGTTTGCAGTGCTGGGAGCTTCACAGGTGTCCCACCCATACCTTAGCCAGAACTCATAGTGTTGAAATATAGAAATCACAATAATGGTTACAATGTCTGCGATCCTATTCTCTTTTTTTGCTAGACTAACTTTAATTTGAGTTGAAACTTTATTGTTTCTAAACATTTTTTCCCCCACAAAATTCTGGCTTGGGTGGGTGAGACAAACTTGTAATCCTAGTACTTGGGAGTTCGAAGTCATCCTTGGTTACACAGAGAATTGACAGCCAACCAGGCTATGTAAGCCCCTGTCTCAAAAAGCCTAATAAATAAATACATACATACATACATACATACATACATACATACATACATACATAAAGAGGTGAGGGTGTAGCACCATGTTAACCATCAGTAGTGGAAGACAGGCTACCCAAACTATGTCCATCTGGTGACAAGGGGTACCCAGACATGAATGTTGCAGAATATTTGCATACCGTGTGAAAATATGTTGCTGTGATTGGTGTGATACAGAGCTGGATGGCCAATACATAGGCAGGAGGTATAGCAACTTCCAGGGACAGAAATGATTCTGGGAAGAAGGGCAGAGATGCCAGGTTGCAGAGCAAACAGCAAGGACATTACAAAGAAAAGGTTCCTGAGACATTTAAAAGAATGTAGACTTTTAAAGATATGGGTTAATTTAAGGTATAAGAACCTAAGCTTGTAGCATGAATAATAAAAATCCATAGACAGATATTGAGATTCAAACTGAAGATCAAACAATTGATAAAGTTCTCACCTCTATCAATGCTCAGACCTAAGAGACAATCCTGTCCTCTGATTGCATCTCCAAACTACATTATTCCTCACTGCCTAAAACTGCAATGTGTTCCTGTTTCTTCCTGCCTTATTTTCCTCTCCACCCAGCCATAATCACTTCTGCCTCTACCTCCCTAGTGCTGGGGATTAAAGATATAAACTGTTTCTCTTTTAGACTGATTCACTCTCATGTAGTCCAGGGTGATCTTGAACTCAGAGATCCATCTGCCTCTTCCTCCTGAGTCCTGGGATTAAAGGTGTGTACCACCACTGTTTGGCCTCTGGCTGTGAATAGCTTCGAACCTGGAACTTCAGGCGAGCTTTATTAGAACATAAACAAAATAACCCTGCATAAGCTATTGGTCAAGGTTTCATAATTAGTAAGTCTCTGTGTGATCTGAGAGCTAGTTGGCAGAACAGAGAAAGACTTGCTACATATGAAGGCTCTGGGATAGATACGGGGTGCTTTTGCTATCCCAAGTCACAGAGGTCCAAGTGGGGTTGGGAAAGCAAATTCTAGAAGCCAGAGACTCAAGCCTGGCCCCTCTAAAGTCCAGGAATCTAGATTCTGATCTAGAATCCCCTGTACTGGCAGTCCAGTGCCCCCTTAGCCTGGGTCTAACTCAAACCCTAATTCCATCATAATAAAATTTCAAATACATGAGCACAAATCTCTATTTTGTTTAAAAGAACTTTATTTGGGAATCAGATATAATATTACAAACTGGAAAACACATAGGCAATAGTTATTGGCCCAAAGAATAGAGTTTAGTTTTGCTCTAGTAATTTAGAATTTATTTTTGAAAAAAGCATGGTGGCTCACTCTAGAGGTGGCAGAGACAACTTCAAAGTCAGCCCGGGCCACACAATAAGTCACAGGTAAGGCAGGAAAGAAAATAGTATTAAAGGCTCTATTGAACATTTTAACAGAAATCTGAAATGCAAAGCTCTTACTGCTAATGAGCTCTGATTCCTGGCTTAGGTATAAAGAACTTATAAAATTTTATTGTCATGTACAAACATTAACATTCCTTACTAAATTTAAACTCATCTAAAAGATAGATAATAAAAAGTTATTTTCTCCCCCTGAATATTCTAAAACACACTACCTTGAATTAACCTTCATACAGTAACAGAGAGTGTCCTTTAACACACTCTAAGGTGTGTTCTAAGGTGGCTAGTTAGGACAAAAATGCATTTGATTTTCTGGTTTAAAAATATATAAGCAGAAATAAAAGGTGTTTAGGTCCATGCTATTTTCTAGTAGGAATAATTCAATCAATTTTCAACCAAATCCTTAAAATCATGCCAAAACTTGCATTTTATGATGTATTTATATAGTAGAAGAAAAAAGTTACTCCCCTAAGAAATCTCAAACTATTTTAACTCCAAGAACAAAAAGGTCTGAAAATTAAGATATTACTAGTGTTGCTTGGAACTAGTTATTTCCAATAAATTTCATCGACATTCTTAAGTCAGACAGGCTGTTTTCTTTGGTCAGCTCTGTGAGAAAGTTCTGGAACCAGCAGCAGTATTTTCTCCTCACCCCTTGTATATGGAGTGATGTGACTTAACTAAACACATTCTTTTTTTCACACCCACAACACAGCAAACAGTACCCAGCCTTGCCCCATAAGGTAGTTGCATGTAACTCTGCAAGGCTTCAGGCTTGGACTAAAAGTTTAACAACTCTTTGGTGGCAATTTCTCACCCCCACATCCCATATTCAACTTACAAGAAGTCCTCAAGTCTCTGGATGGAGAGTATGAAGTGGGTCTGGATCTCCTTCCAGCTTGTCTGTAGTCTCAGGCATCTCCATCGTCGTGGGCGTCTGGGTGTATCGGCTGGTGTAAACCCGCAGCTTTTGCTGCAGGTTGCACTTTGGGCAAGCGGTCTGTTGCTGAGGAGGGCTGGAGGTCTTGGCGTCTTCTTGCATCTTCCAGGTCACCAGCTGCATGCAGGCCCTGGCATCTTCGATAGAACTATGTCCACCCCTGTTGGTCTGGATCATCCGGTTAAGGTACTGAGAGATGAGGCCTCGCAAGGAGCGCTTGTAGGGAAGCCCCCGGTGGTGTGGAAAGAGCACAGAGGTATCTATAACGGTGCTGTGGATGAATTTTAAAGCCAGCAGGTCACTCTCCAGGCTATGTCCGATAAGGATAGTTTCAGTGCTGAACAGACTCAAGAGCATGGCCTGGACATCACGCAGCCTAACATTAGTATTTGCCAGGTCAGCCTCAGTCACTCCGGAAAATATGGTGTTGTAATCCACAATCTCGTTGTCTGGCTTGACGAAGGTGTCGTAAATCACACGTAAATCCATGTCCACCACTGTGACGCGGGTGAGCTCCAGGCCGTGCGTGGTGTAGGACATCTCACAGTCCAGGGCGTAGATTCCGGCATGCGCCTCCCAGTCCTTCTTCGGAAAGGTCTTGGCAAAGCCCTGTAAGTTGTCCTTCCTGCCATCCTGCACGTGTTGCTTGGCCACGGTGCAGCCTGTGGCTCCGATGGGCGCATAGCAGCACGTGTACTGCACCTGAGAGCCTCCGGGCACCCGGATGGAGCGGATGCGCCCCCAGTGGAACACACAGGGATCCGAGCAGAGGCAGCAACCAGAGGACGACACAGGATACTCAGTGCCACAGCGGCAGCAGGTCCTGTGTGTGGGGCTCCGAGGTTGCTCTCGCGTGAAAAGCATTGCCGACCCAGGCTTCTCCGGATGTGCGAACGGGAAGCCATGCTCCTTGCGCTGCTCTTCAGTGAGCTGATAGCTCCGCAGGCGGCTGTACAGGGTGGCCTTGTTGAGACCAGGCACGGCGCTGGGAACCAGGCCCCTGAGTTTCTTCAGGGTGTGCAGGGCGACGTTCAGGTATTTGTTCTTGCTGGGGCTTTGGTCATAGACCTCCTTCTCCTCTGACTGAGCCTTCTCGATGGCCTCCAGGCGCGAAGAAGAGAACCTGAGGCATTCTTCGGTGAACAGGCCCAAGTAGTGCTGACGCATGGCATCCGGAATCCTGTCCTTAAAGTCCTTTGTGAGGGTAACCTTCTTCACTCCAAAAAAAGAATAGCTGTAGGCGGCTTGCTGCGGGGTGACGATGTAGGTGACGTGTGGCGGCTGAGATGTGGCTCTGCTGGTTCTAAAGGTCCTCTTCACAGCTGTGGTGCTGTTTGCCAGGCTGGGACTGGCCATGTGGATTAAGCTCCTCTCCTCTCTCGGTGAAGCCGAAAACGACAGTGACGACAACGACGTCGACGTACCCAGGCACCGCGGCTTCCTCCAGTCCTGCTGGGGTCGCCAGTGCAGTAACTCCCAAAGACAGTGCAATGCAGGGCTAGGCCCCGGAAAAGATACCACAACTAACTGGGAACCCTGGCTACACTTCAGACCGCACTGGTAGCAAGAGAGCGGGAGTTCCCCATCTGGAAAGACCACCACCTTCCTTCCTTCAGACTGCCCTACTGAGAAGCAGTTTCCTTCTGTAGCTTTGAGGCGCATGCTTACCTGGAAATGTAGTTCCGTAGCAAGCAGCTCGCCTACCTGAGCTGGTGTGAAGGAGCAGGCTTCGCTGAAGCTGATATATACAGGGCAGTGGGCGGAAATCCCTCAACCAATCACATTGGATCTACGATCTTTCAGCCCCTTCCGGACTATTGGGCTCCTCCTACCAGGAAGGGTGTAGCTACTGGATCAATTGGATTTCCTGGGTTCCACCTTGTCCTGTTTGTCCTGTTTTATTTTACTGTATATCTTTATAATTTCTTTTGAGAACTTTACATGTTGCCTTTTGATCCTAATCACATCACCCAAATTCCACCTAGAACCACCCCCTTACATATCCACAGCACGTTGTTTCCTCATTTTTTTTTTTAACCCATGGAGTCCAATTTCTGCAGCCCAATTCCCCTTCCCCCTTATCCTTCCCTCCTCCTCTCCCCCCTTCTTTCCTGTAGGTCTTCCATTTCTGGGACAGTCTTAATAATTCTTGTCTTGGATTTATGTGCTCTGCCTCAGCTTCCTGACTGCTTCGATAAGGGTATTTTCTGCCATGAGCAACTGGTTTTGAAATTACAGGTTCTGCTCTCGGCCCTGAGCAATTCCACAGCCTTGGTGTTTTTAATGGGGTTTTGTTTGGTTGGTTGGTTTTCTTTTTTTGTGTTTTTGTTTTTGTTGTTGTTTTGGGGTTTTTTGTTTTGGTTTGGTTTTTGGTTTTTTGTTTGTTTGCTTGCTTTGCTTTGCTTTTTCCAGACAGGGTTTCTCTGTGTAACCCCGCTTTTCTGGAACTGGCTCTGCAGATCAGGCTGGACTCAAGCTTGCTGAGATCCGCGTGCCTCTCCCTTCTAAGTGCTTGGATTAAAGGTGTGTGCCACTACTGGCTGGAAATTTAAATTGTTCTTAAACCTTAAGACTTTGCCTCAAATGAGAAATATGTAAATTGCATTTTCATCAATTTCAAAATAACAACTCAATTAGAACCTGTCAGTGGCAGCTCAGGAAATGCTTTAACTTGATCTCAAAATTCTGGGTTGAATCTTTATGTGTGTAAATTAAGTTAAAATAAATTAAATCTTTGTACGTGTAAATACTGCTTGTAGAAAGGGTGGATTTTATTCAGCAAGTAACTGTGGGATGCATACCATAAGTTAAACACACTGTGAAGAATTATATAATAAAGTAGACAAATTCTGTAATCCTAGGAGGCAAACATCTGGTGCAATTGTGAGTGATTACATTAGGATGATCTAATTAGATTACCTGAAGTGAGAAACCCCACAAGAGCAGGGACATTCCCTAGGCCTGGGACTTGGATGGCTTAAAATGGAGGACTCATACTAAACACTGGCACTCCCCCAGCTCTCACAGGGCAATGGCTTCAAACCCTTGACTCTGGTTTTCTTTCTTAAATTGCTTTTGCTGGGAATTTTTTTGTTAGTTTTTCAAGACAGGGTTTCTGTATTGCTTTGGAGCCTGTCCTGGAACTAACTTTGTAAATCAGGCTAGCCTCAAACTCACAGAGATCTGCCTGCCTCTGCCTCCTGAGTGCTGGGATTAAAGGCGTATGCCACCAACACCTAGCTCCTGTTGGGAAATTTTTAATTAGGTTTTCTCACACAATGTATTTCGATTTTGTTTTCCCCTCCACTAACCTCCCATGTTCTCCCTACCTTACTACCAACCAAACTTCATATACTTTCTCTCTCCAAAACTTTTTTTTTTTTTTTTTTTTTTTTTTTTTTTGTGAAAATCAATATGTCTGTATACTATCACTTGTATGTATGTTTTGGGGACTGACCTGGTGGTGTTGGGGCACACATGCAGGGTTTTAAGGTCAGAATGGTGCCTCCTGCAGGGCATCAGCTGTACTAAGGTCTGGGGGCCTGTTACATCCCCTCCAGCATTTGCTAGTTGTTTTGCTCATCTTCCCTCTGGGATAAGATGACATCTCAAAGTTCTTTTTATTTTCACCCCCGTTTTGTTTTGTTTGTTTGTTTTGTTTTGTTTGTAGAGAACTCTCTTTTTCCAATCCCAAGCTTTTTTGAATGGTTCATTTTTTGGCGGGGGTGGGGTAGGGAGGTTATTTGGTTTTGACTCTTTGTTTTGGGTATTGTTTGGGTATTGCTCCTGTGTCAGAGGAATGGCTGGCAAAGATTCCCTCTTATTTTGTGATCTGTACTTTCTTTACCTGGTCCATTGTTTCTTTTGTGGTGCCTAAGCATTTGAGTTTTATGAAGCCCCACTTATCAATTGTTGGCCTTAATTCTTGGGGAACTGGAGTCCTATTCAGAAAGTCCTTTCCTACCCCTGTGTCATATAGGGAACTGCCTATGTTTTCTTAGCGGTTTCAGTTTCCACACTAAAATCTGATCGACTGGGGTTGGTTTTCTGCAAGATGATAGATTAGGATCTGATTTTAACCCTCTTGGAGTGGACATCGGCTTTCCTAGCAACACTTGTTAAAGATGCTTTCTTTTCTTGAGCTTCAGTTTTTGCCATCTTCAACAAATACTAAATGGGTGAAGTTACTCACATTTCAGTTTTTCTATTTTGTTCCATTGGTCTATGTGGTGACATTTTGTTCTTTTTGTTCAAGGTTGTTTGGGTTATCTGGGAACCTTTGTGGTTCCATATGAATTTTAGGATAGTTTTTTGGTTTTTTTTTTTTTTTTTTTTTTTTTTTTGCCTATTTACTTGAAGAATGATGTTGAGAGCTGAACTAATCCAAGGCCTTCTTAGAGGAGCTGCTGACAGGACAAAGGGAGCAGCTTCTGTTTCCTTCCCCAGGAGCAGACTTGGAAAAGAGAGTCTTGGGCTGAACCCAGAGCCTTGAAGAAGCTAAGGTTTCAGTACCTGGGAACATGGATTTTTAATTCACCATGAAGAGACTGGAATTATCAGTACCAAGGCTGCCACGTGCTCGTTCTGTAGTGCTTTGTTCCCTTTTGTGCAATATTGCCTACTTAGCCTCCAGCTGACTATCCCGTTGTATGGTAGCTCCTGCTGACTTTGTCCCATTTCCCACCCCCTGGAAATAGCACATTTTAATGAACATGCTTGGCATAAGACAGTTTGCACACTGCCTCCTGATCCCAAGCTTTTCTATTTCTTTACCTTCTGACCTGGTCCTCCTTCTCAGGATCCGTCACTGAAGGATGCTAGTCCAGGCTAATTGACATGGGAATTTTAATAGAGACTGCAATGAATCTGTAAATTAACTTTTGGTAGAATGGTAATTTTCTCAGTGTTAATTGTACGAATACATGAGCAAAGGATGTCTTTCCTTTTTCTAGGGTCTTTCTCTATCACTTCCTTCAGAGGTTCACACTTACTAATTGCAAATGATATTAAAGTTATCATCCTTTACTTCTGTGGTTAGGTATATCCCTAGGTATTTTTTTTTGTTTTGTTTTGTTCTGTTTTTGCTTTTGCTTTTGTTTTTTGAGACAGGGTTTCTCTTCATTGCTATGGAGCCTGTCATGTAACTAGCTCTGTAGACCAGGCTGGCCTCCAACTCATAGATATCTGCCTGCCTCTGCCTCCACAGTGCTGGGATTAAAGGCGTGCACCACCAATGCCCGGCTTATTCCTAGGTATTTTATTTCCTTTGAGGCTACTGTGATTGGGAGGATGTATATACTTTTTTTCTCTGTACATTTGTTGTTGGAGCATAGAAAAACCTACTGATTTGTGCAAGGGTATTCTGCCACCTTGCTGAGTTTGTTTATTATTCCTCAAGGTTTTCTGCAAGTAGGGATAGTTTGACTTCTTTCCTTATTTGTATCTTTTTTATTTCTTTCTCTTGCCTTACCAATTCAGCAGTGCTAAGCATAATATTGAAAAGGAGTGGGGTAGTGGACTTCCCTGTCTCATTTCTAATTTCAGTGTGATTGCTTCAAGCTTTTTTACATTTAGGAGAATGTTGGCTGTGGGTTTCACATGTATAGCTTTTCTTGTGTGACGGTATGTTTCCTCTAGCCCTACAGTCTCTAGGATTTTTATCCTGAATGAGTGTTGGATTTTGTCAGAGGCTTTTTCTGCACCTACTGAAATGATCGTGTTCCTGTGATTTTTGTCCTTACGTCTTTTTATGAAATTTACATTTATTGATTTGATTTACATATGTAGAACCATTCCAGAATTTCAGGGATAAAGCTAACTTGCTAATGGTAGGTAATCTCCCCCCATACCTCCCACTACTCATAATCCTTCTAAAGAATATCTATATTTATATTGTTTGCACATATTTTATTGTGCACTTTGAGTCCATGTTCATCAGGGCTATTGGCTAGTATTTTTCTTTTTGTTGTTCTTGTGGTTTTACCTTGGTTTGGTATTAGAGGACTATTGGCGGGCATCATAGAGTTAGGAAGTACACTTTCTATTTCTGTTTTGTTGTTGTTGTTGGTTTGTTTTGTTTTGTTTTGGGTTTTTTTTTTTAATAGTTTAAGAAGGACTTGTAGATCTTTTTTGAATGTCTGGCAAGATTTTTCTCTGAAGCCATCTGGCCTGGGATGTTTTTTTAAAAGCTGAAAGGAGTTTTGTTACTATTTCAGTCTCCTCATTTGTTATGGATGTGTTGATGTTGACTTCCCCTTGATTTAATTTTGGTGGTTTGGCTGAATCTAGAAATTCATCCATTTCTTTGAGATTTTCCCAGTTAGTGGAATATAGTTTTTTAAAATATTCCCTTATAATATTCTGAATGTTTTACAGTCTGTTGTAATGCTTTCCTGTTCACTTCCAATTCTGCTCATTAGGATCCTGTCTTTCTCTCATTTGCTTAGTTAGGCTGTATCTATCAATCTTGCGTATCTTCCCAAAGAACCAGCAATTAGATTGGTTGATTATTTGTATTGTTTTCTTTGTTTCTATTTCATTGAAATCTGTTTTGACTTTTAGTATTTCTTGTGATCCGGTGATTTTTTTCCAAATTTTGAAAGTTGCATCATTAAGTTATTTATTTGCACTCTTGCTAAGTTTTCAGTGTATGCACTTAGCAC